AAAAAAAAAAAAAAAAAAAAATTAAAAAAAAAAAAAAAAAGAAAATATTAAATCTGAAATAAAATAGTCTTAGGAATAGTCCTTAAGGTATCTGCTTGATTTCTCACTTGTTCTACTAACAGTGGGTGCACTCCCTATAAAATGGCTACACATAATTTTCAAACCCTAGTGTGAAAGAAGTGGGTGGTGTTAAGTATATTCAGAAGCCAGTCCTTGAGTGTCTTACATAGTCTCTCAGGACACACTCTATATATGCTATTCAATTCAGATAAGTTCTCTAAACCTATAGGTTCAAATAACTCCTCCAAATATTTGGGGTCGCAAAAGATTTTTTTAAAAAGAACTCAAGAGGGTGCCTGGGTGGCTGAATTGGTTAAGTATCCAATTCTTGACTTTGGCTCAGGTCATGATCTCACAGTTCCAGAATTTGAGTCCCCTATCAGCCTCCTCTGCTGAGAGTGTGGAACCTGCTTGGGATTCTCTCCCTCCCTCTCTGCCCCTCCCTCCACAGTCATGCTAGTGCTTGCTCTCTTTCTCTCAAAATACAAAAACTTAAAAAAAAAAAAAAGAACTCAAAAAGATTTTTAAAAAGAACTCAAAGGTATTCATTCCACAAATAATTACATAAATGTATCTTTAAAATACGGACATATACACACAAGCATATATGTACATTCACACACACACATAGTAACAACAGCTAAGTAACTCAGCTAAGCTACCTTGGTTTGAGTTATCTAAATGACAAGCATCCACCTCTGTTTTCTTTCTATATATTTTCTCATAAACAATTCACATCTGATACCAAATGGTTCATATAGGAAGCTATACTAAATCATGACCAAAACCTCTCTTGCAAAGGTTTATCAATTCAAGGTAAAGCATAAACACTGTTAACCAAATAAACATGAAAAGAAAATGGCAAAATCAGGTATTTGAATTTTCTACACTCCCTAAAGAAAATAATTAACACTGTTTGATCTAATCAATGAAACAGTATCTTCTACTATACTATGTAAAACTTGAATCAACTCAATTTAAGTTACTTGCTTTATTAATACTATAATAGATTTAGATAAATTTCACTTCTAAAAGGTAATGGCACCAAAAGGAATAAAAACTCTTTAAAACTTTTCAAATTATACAAAAAGTTTCTATCATTGGAAACTGAAAAAACTTTAATAATTCCCCATATTTCTGATACAAATAACAATCACCATTGCTTTTTTTCTTTTAATGTTTATTTATTTTTGGCAGAGAGAGAGAGAGAGAAAGAAGAGAGTACAAGCAGGAGAGGGTCAGAGAAAGAAGCAGACAGAAAATCCGAAGCAGGCTCCAGGCTGAGCTGTCAGTACAAAGCCCAACGCAGGGCTCGAACTCATGAACCGGGAGATCATGACCTGAGCCAAAGTCGGATGCTCAACCGGCTAAGCCTCCTAGGGATCCCCAATCACCACTGCTTTTATTTTATCGTGTATCTTAATTTTATTCCATTTAACTTTGGTAAAAAATAATTTTCAAAAACAGCATTCACAATCATACTTCCATTTCTCGTGGTCATTTTTTTCTTATTCTTGAGGTCTCATGGTCATTTGTTTCAATTTTTAACAACTCAGTATGACATAGGAATTGTAAGGTTATCTTTGAGAATACTTACCCACCCACAAAGCAGAGGATATAAAATGCCAAATAAAATATTACAAAGGGTCCAAAGGTTATTAGAGAAAGGACAATGCCAAGGCTTCCCCATCCCCATATGGATAGACTGGTCTGAAATAAAGCAAAGGAAAATAATTTTTAATAAATTTCCATATGAATCAGAAAAGAACAAAACTTTTACATAGTTTTACATCTCTCCTTTTAACCTATACGGTACTGTTTGCAGTAACTGTTACATATATATTTTTGAAAATGTTAACTACATTCTTGGAAACTTACCTCCAAGAAACAATATACAAAATCTATGTACATCAGCAATGATTTTTTATAAATCTAGTGTCAATGTAAAGGCACAACTGGCAATCGTTACGCAATGATATGCTGGTATGAGAAATGGTAAAAAAAAAAAAAAAAAAGGATTTATAAAAACATTTATATACATATGTATATATATACACAAGTATATAAAAAGGTTAAGTAGCTCACAAAGTTGTACTTGTTTAGAGTATTTCATTTGAAAACTAAGTTCCAACATAAATACAGTATAACGACATTTTTTTTAAACTTAAAATTTCAAGGTAAGGTATCCACATCTCACTAAATATTTTTTTACTCAAATTGTACATAGAAATTTATAAAATTTTATTGCACAACTTCCAATTTTCAATTACCAAAATATACCATGATCTCAAAAAACATCTCGAAAAATTCTCGATCCTTAAAAATAAACACAAAAAACAACCCTGTTTTGTTTAGAATTATACTGTATTATATATTTAAAATACTCCTTTTGTTGAAGGCAAACTGGATTTTAGCAATTTAAGTCATTACGAATAAATAAATGTATTCAATTCAACAAGTTCCTACACCCATTTGCCTTGTACTGTGAGGTCTACAAAGGAGGCATTTGTCCCATTCCTGCCATCAAGGAGCACAGAAAAGAATGTCTTACAGGAATGAAACAATTAGACACTGAACCAAAAGAAAATAATAGAAAGCATTATAGGATGCTAAAGTGAACAAAATTAGTGACCAAAAAACTATGGAATAGACAGTAAGTTCTATGGATTATGAGAGAAAGAGAAGTTTTATTTATTCATTCATTCACCAGTCATTGACTGTTTCCTAGGTGCTATAAGCTGAAGTTGCTTGGGGAAACCATAAGGAATAAAACATATCCTCATAATGCTACATTCTAGTAAGGAGAGAGAGATAAGCATATTCTCATAAATGCACACATTTGCATAAGTTTACATTCCAGAAGGAGAAAAAACAAATAATACATACATGTATAGTTATATCAGCTGGGGATAAGTGCTATGGAGAAAAATAAAGCAATTATATATGGTTGCTATGTAAGTTATATTTATAGGACTATATAAGAAGCTCTCAGCTAGATGAAATATGAACAGAAATCTTAGAAAAGATTTATTTAAGGAGAATTTATAATAATTACTCTTCCTACCAAAAGTAATATTTTTCCATTTATTCATATCCTCTTTAATGTCACTCTATGAAAGTTTTAAAAATTTCTTCTTCTATATAAGACTAGTGCAAATTGTTCATTTGTATTTTTATTATCCTTTTTCCTCATTCTGGCCATTATTATCTTTTTAACCAGAGGACAGAATACCTGCTGATGAAGTTTCTCCTGACCTCATGGCTTCCTCCTTGGATCAGCTGGAGAAACTATTTCACCTACAGAAGTGGTTTCTAACTTCTAAGAGCTGAAAGTAAGCCATGGGGATTTAAAATACAGAGCAGTCCAATCCTTCTGACAATACTTATGCTGAACATCTACTACCTGATGCACACTACAGTATTGCCAGAGGCCCAACAATGGAAAGCAGATGCTATTTCCCAAGATTCACTCAAAACCTTATCCAATGAATACCCTGCAGAGTTCTCATACACTCTCAGGAAAGTGGAAACCAGACTATGACCCAGGTACTTTAATCGATTTACCTTCTTCATTGAGAGGTGGCCTAATATTTACATTACTCTTTCTTTACAATGCTAGATTTATGCTTGCTACCCAGTTTTTCAAAGCTAAACTAAATACTACGAGATAATAAGTTTTAAAAATGAAACCAAGCAGAGTGGCTACTTCTGTAGATAAAGGAAGGGAGCATACAACTGAAGACAACATATAGGGGGCTTCTCAAGTACTTAGCAATGTTCTATTTCTTAATTGTTTGCCTTAAGCTGAATAAATGTAATATTCCTTCTTCTATTTGAATCCTATATCTCACTATTAAAAATTTTTTCAAAGAACAATCACAATTAGTTAATACAGGAAAGATTATTTAATGCAGCAGTTAGTTAACATGGGTAAATGCTCAAATGTCTAAAACATAAGTTTTCAGAATCTTATCTCTTCTCACTTGAAAACTATAGCAAAATGACCAAAAAATTAATTTTATTCATTCATTCTACAAATTACTTGTCAATATCTATTACAATGTGCCAGGCACTAGTGATTTAACAGTGAACAAAACAGATTTTACTGTAATATTTTTAAAATTCTACACAAGAAGACCCTTTCTTTAATTTTGAGAGAAATTTTTATACTCTTGAGACTAATAAAATTAAACATTTCAAATCAAGCAAGTCAGGTGTTTATAGTTAACTTCAAATTTTAAACTGTTCACTGAAACACCAGAACAATAAACTGTCCAAAACTAAAAAGTTTTGTATTATTCTGAGTGTTCCCAAATATAATGTAATTGGCTGATACTATTATGTTATTATTTGGTGAGATTAAGAAAAACAATTGATCTTATACCATATAAAAATCTTGAGTTCTAATTATTTCCTAAGACGATAAAATTTAGGATAGTTTTGTACCACATCAGAAACTTTTTACAAATTCAAACGGGTATTAGTTACCTTAAGAACTGACCTAATGTGGAAGCCAAAAAATAGAAATAGATCTCTATTACAGTGATTTACATTAAAATAGTTGATATATTATCATTTTCTTCTCTAAATACAATAATCAACATCGACATACCCATGCTATATGATTTCCTAGAATCACTGACCCATCAACTGGGCATTGGAAGAAACCTTCAAGATCATCTACTCCAGTACTGGGGCGCCTGGGTGGCTTAGTCGGTTAAGCATCCGACTTTCGCTTAGGTCATGATCTCGCGGTTCGTGGGTTCGAGCCCCGCGTCGGGCTCTGTGCTGACTGCCAGCTCAGAGCCTGGAGCCTGTTTCAGTCTGTGACTCCCTCTCTCTCTGACCCTCCCCTGCTCACGCTGTCTCTCTCTCTCTCCTAGAAATAAATAAAACATTAAAAAAAAAATAAAAAAAAATAAAAAAAAAAAAGATCATCTACTCCAGTACTTCTCAAACTTTAAGGATCTTAAATACAAACTCTTAAAATGCTAATCTGTTATCTCTGTGATTCTTTCACTTCTAACAAGCTATTAGAGAACTGTTTAGAACAAAGGACCACTATCTATTTATAATTCCCCTTAATCTCTAGGTCCACAAAACCTTATCCACAACTCCAAAATTCAAAAAGCTTTGAGAAACAAAACTCTACCAAACATTCTAAATACTCTATCTCATTTATTTCTCAGAACAACGTATTAAGTAATCAAAAAGTTAGTACAGCACAGTGCCCAGAAAGTATGGACTTTGGAGTTAGACTAAGTGCAAACCTCACCTTTTACTATTTATTAGTTGGGTAATCACCAAATGCCTTAATTTCCTCACCTATGTGGCTGCTGTGGGGAGTAAATGAGTCTCTGGTCTTGTATTCAAATTTACCTTAATCACGATTATTCCTAGTTTAGCAAGAGAGAAAACCTTAAAATAAAAACTGCCCAAGGTCATGCAAACTAGTAAGTATAAAAGTGAGATTTGATTCTAGGCAAACCCCAACTCCTTATAAACCTTAAAATTTGTCACTGAAAACTGCCTGAAGTTAAATCACAATAAGAAGAAAATGCTAAAATCATCAATGAGTGCTTCCTTTTATCCAAAAATTAATCAATTTAATACGCCTCCCAAGAAATTAGTCAGAAAATGACTTGTAATAAATATAATAAATCCCTGGTCTGAATATGAAGTATACAATTTTTACTATTAAACAATCAATTTAACCATGTATACCCTACATAAATAATGGAAAGAATCTCAAAGGGTCTCAATTTATGAGCATGTCCTAACACCTATGCATATCACTGTGGCTTTGAGCAAAGGGAAAAACAGACATAAAAACTAACCCGATGCCAAGATGCTCAAGAACCAAGAGAGGATAATGCCTCCTGACAACAGAAAGAAAGTGGAAATAATTTCCCTTGTAATATTTTAGGCCTATCAAGTCCTAATGATATCTATTTCATCTGCTCCTCACCAGTGTTTTATGATAGGGAAGGTAGCATAATACAGTACTAAGAACACAAAGTTAGAAAATACAGATTCAGTTTGCCACTTACATTCTATGTAACCTCTGCAAAATTTTTCTCTTTGATCCAAAGTTCCCATTAGCAATAAGTGGACTCTCAAGTCAAGTCGACCTGTAGTAGACTGATTAAGTAACTTTCTTCATAATGACACAGCTATTTTGATGCAAGCAACACCCAGAGTCTCCTGGCTCTAGGAAGAGAATGGAGCTAAGTAGGAAGAACTATTTTAGATCACATATAAAACAGATGGTCAGCTCCCACAACGTAGATGTCAGATTCTGACTTGCGTCTCACTAGAATGGGTCAACCACTCTCAGAGTTAAAATGACCTGCTATATATGAACACATTATATGGCAAAGGGCATCCAGAAAGATAGTGCTGACAGTCTTAAAACTGATACTACTTCAGCGCCAACTTGGGTCATAAGAAGTCATATGAGTTTAACAAAAAAATAAGTACCCATAAGACAAGTGGCCTTATTGTAACTATACCCTATTTTCCTCCCACCTTATTCCATTTATGATAAGTTGGAAGTTCTTCTCCAATTACTTTCAAAAGAATGTGCTCCCAACATGGAACCCTGTCTCATTCAACATTATATAATAATTTAACCAAAGCCTGGTAAAAAGAAGCTGCTCACTAAATATAGAACTATTTCATTTAATAACTAGAGAAGTAAAATGAAGGGA